GTCATTCTCCCCCTCTACTCAGCACTGGTGAGGCCACAACTGGAATACTGTGTCCAGTTTTGGGCTCCCCAGTTCAGGAGGGACAGGGAGCTGCTGGAGTGAGTCCAACGAAGGGCAACCAAGATGACTGAGGGATTGGAGCATCTCCCTTATGAGGAAAGGCTGAGAGAGCTGGGACTCTTTAGCCTGGAGAAGAGAAGACCGAGAGGGGAGACCTTATTATTGCTTACAAATATCTAAAGGGTGGGTTGAAGGAAGACGGAGCCAGACTCTTCTCAGTGGTTCCCAGTGACAGGACGAGGGGCAATGGGCACAAATTGGAACATAGGAAGTTCCGTTCAAATACACAGAAAAACTTTATGGTTTGGGTGACAGAGCACTGGCACAGGCTGCCCAGGGAGGTTGTGGAGTCCCCTTCTCTGGAGATTTTCAAAACCCGCCTGGATGCAGTCCTGAGTAATGTGCTCTGGGCAATCCTGCTTTAGCAGGGGAGTTGGACTAGATGATCTCTGGAGGTCCCTTCCAACTCTGAAAATTCTGTGATTCTGTGATAATTAAGAATATTTTAAAAAGTAGTAGAAAGAAATGCCTAATATATATAGGTCCTACTGCAGGTTTGCAGCATTAATAATATAAAGCAAGTAGCCTCCAAAAAAAAAATTTGAATTCACAGTTAATATAATTAAGTAATGAACAGGCACAACTATGACAGAGATTTGTAACGTGAAATTCTACTAAATGTTTTCTCACATATGGCTATAAACACAAATTAGACTTCTTAAATTCCAGGTAGACTGTTTCATTTTAGCACACTCATTTTTGCTATGTGTTAGCAAACAGATATACATGTTGGTATTAGTCCTCTGGTTAATAAATGTATTTATTTCAGTGTATGTGTCTCCCGCTAAATAATCTGGAGCTTGAACAAGACAAGTAGCTTGCATGAGATAATCACTACACAGGAAAACTTTGTTTTAGTGTGAGTAATATAATTCATTTTCTAAAACCAGATTAAGTTGATTATCTGATTTTTCCACTTTCTAAAACTTTAAATGAAGAGAATAACATTCCTATGAGCTGGTTTCAGCAGATTTATTAAATATGCCCATAAAATAATTATCATTTACTAAATGTTAGAAGTTATCAGATTTTTGCTGCAAAAACTCATATTTTGATATTTTACATCCCTTTGATAAAAAGTCAGTGGTAGAATTATCTATGACAATTAATAAAAGCAATTTTAATTTGTATTTGATATTTATCCTATCGGATAATGAGCAATCAAGTTTAAGTGTTACCATACATATTTACTTTGGAGAAAAATGTTCAAAGCAGCTAACACTGAAAGATTCTTGTAAATAAACTTATTTTTCCTTTTAGGATCAATTAAAATGCATTCTTTCTGAATGGGAGTGGAAAAAAAATCACAAACAGATTTTAAACACAGAGCTATTCATAACAGTTCTGTAATTTGATTCATGCAAAACTGTCAGGGATAAAAATCAAACACAATTTAATTTCAAACCTTTCCCAACCAGCTGCTGAACAATTTATGCAGTACTTTTCTATTTTTACTGCAGGATAATGACAATGATGAATGCTTTTCCTTGCAAATAAATATTCATTAAGCAAGCTCAGATCAAAACCATACCCTTCCAAAAGCCCACAAATGTGCAAGATCCATTTGCCTCTTCTAAGAGATTTATTTAGGAGGAGATGGAACTGTGCCCACAAATGCATCTCATAACAATTTAACGGTTCAGTTAAATTAAACCTATGGCAATACTTACTTGTAACCTCAGTATCAATATTATTAAAGTTGGTGTCAACTCTGATAATACCAAATATATGTGGGTGCACAACAGATTAGTTATGGATATAAATCAGATAAGCCCAAATGAAAAGCATTAAGAAGAACTAAAAGGAAGTCAACTGCCAGTAAGCCAATCTAGTAACGAACATAAGTTTGTAGAAAAAGACCAAGTGGTAGCTCATTAGCCATGATTTACATGGTCTATGACTTTTTTTGAGCAGAAGAGTCATCCTATCAAAAGAGATTGTTTAAAATGAAGAATGACAGTAACATTGGCATGTTGTGTGCTTCAATACTCAGGACAACTTTAATCTACTGGTACTAAATCAGAAGTGGTAAAAGGAAGGGTCTACTGTTATTTCACACAGTCCTATTATCAGTTATACGCTTCCTTTGCTCCAATACTTCACTGTTATGCTTCACTACACATACTACACTGCCTCGCTAGGAAACTGAAAATACCCTAATTTTCAAGAGCTAAAAAGAATAGCTGTATGCACGTGTGTATATCGATACAGACACCTAAAATGTATAGGATATATGCATGTATAAGGATGTGATTTTATAGAAACTAATAACAGCATATGGATGTGGTTTTGTTACATGTCCTCTGTTGTGGAAAGAGACAAATGGGCTCCTACAGAGGACAATTCAGAGCCCCTGTCCTGATTATCCCTCTAAGGTTCTTTCCTAGAGCTGAATGAAGGCAAATTCTGCCTCTTTAGGGTAACGTTTCCTTTTGTTAAAACCTTTCCTTCCCCAAAATAATCACAGAAAAATGGAAAGGTGGACTTCTCTTCATGCTGGATGACAATTTGAAATTGCTGTAATTATATACAGCACTTAAGCATGATTTTTTACAAGGCTTTCCTCACACAAACATTATTCTGCAAAAGCTGATAACTCATTCATCTACTTAGGCTTACAACTTTAATCTTATTCTCTTCGTGTGTCAATTCTGTGTTGGAAAAATTCCACCCGTTTCAAAGGATTTCACTGTTGCAAGTGATGAAGAAACCAGACAGTAATATTTAAAGTCATATCAACAATACTGAATTAGCTTTTTCCTAACTACATTTCCTACATACTGGACAATATTTTCTGTTTAGCTAATTAAACTGTAATAATTACAGAGAGTACAGCCCCAATCAGAATTCAAGCTTTTTTGGTCTAGCACAGAATGGAACAATTAAATTTTACTTGGTTTTGTTGCTGTTTTATAAAAAATATTTTTAAATCAAACATTAAAATAAAGATGCCGAGATTGGGTGTGGCTAGGGTTACTTACTAATTACTTTAAATTACAAACACACAGAGAAAACTTTAACCACAAGTTCACAACTTTAAATATATAACTGCCCCTCTCCATCCTTTCTCTCCCATTCAATGATGTACTTTGCAGATAAACTAGTGCAATGTGCAATTGCAACCCTAATACCTGTCTTCCAAATATAGGTGAAACAGATAAAAATAAATGAGCTCTTCAGTGTTCTTATATTCTGCAATGATGTGCCCTCATATATAAACATCCATGTATGTAACATGTCACGTCCATATGCAGACATCACAGATGGGGGCTGAGCACTTCTAAAACAGATGTCTGAGAGTGAGCGCAGGCTGCCAATATACAGAAGCCCCAAAATAATGGAAACCAATCATTCCAAGAAAAGCTTTCTATCTTACCTTGAGACACTCTTCTTGTTTGAAGAGATCCTCGCAATCCTTAGCCTGCAGAACAGGAGAATTAAGGCGCTCCTCTACTTCAGACAAGGCTTGCAGAAGGTGAAGGATCTCTGCCAGGTATGTAGAAGGCACATGAGTGGTTTCCACAGTCATAGTTTCAGTCACCACAAAAGTTGTATCTTCATGAACTGTTTGCTAGTATAGATATACAACAGAATGTTTCCTTTAGTTTCTTAACACTACACAAACTGATAACTTAATGCAATTTCCAGTTCACAACCTAGAAGCAATTAAAAATAATTTCTAAGGACAAATGCAGGAAATATTTGAGGTTTCTGACATGGATCACTCGCACTCCACTAGTTTGTCTGAAATGGCAGGTACTAAAATTAATCCATGTAAAAGTGTACAAACTTTTCTTCCCTACTCTCCAAAGAAATGTAGATAGGAAATGCAAGAGTACTCTGAGATTACGATGTTACTGGGATTTTAGTGCTAGCCCTTTCATTTTAAACCATCACACCTCTTTAAGAATCTGTCCTCCATTATAGAAATTCCATGCATTCCATGCCTAAAATACTAAAACATTTCAAGGTGTTAAGTAAAATAATGACCTGTGTAATAGACACAATTTCTTAAATAACACACAACACAGAACAACTAGGTCAACTCACACTTTCAACACTATACTAAAACCTTTCTCTTTACACTAGAAAGTACAATTTGAAATTTTGTGATTTGAAAGGTCTTTAATGCATTGATATTTCTAAAAGAAATCCCAGCAACACATCTCTGCAGGAAATTGAGATTTTTATTTTTTTTTTGATCTGGACAAATATCAAATAGACACCCTTTTCTGAAAGCAGATACGTACACCCAACATAAAGAACTCCCATAATATTTTGGTTCCAAGAAAATAAATAGTTGATCTATGGCATTTGGAAAGATACTGAGATATAAGGTAACAAAATAGTGACTGTTTATATAAATTCGCTACATTTCTGATTTGATGTGCTTATGGATCATAGATAAAAAGTAATATGAAAAGCATTCTTTGGAGCAGGGAGAAGTGTGATTGTTTCTTTTAACTATACTCCAAAACAATTATCACCTCTATCTCCATTGGAAAAGGCAAAATTTAAAAGATATAAATTATTGTGAGCATAAGTTATTATTTATCTGTTTTGTCACATCACATAGGATTCCTACTGTGGGACCAAGATCCATTGTGCTTGATGTCTGTCTTCTCAAAAACATAAACTTTACTTATTGAGTCCCTCAAAGAACTTTTACAAGCAATTGCCAGTAAACTTCTTTCAAAAATCATATTATTTAGATGCTTCTGTCCTAACACAGGTAATCACGGATTTTGGAGCCATATATGTGAAGGACAATGGATCAATGGTCCTGAAGAAAACAGCATCATTAGTTAGCTATTATGTAAAAGAAAACAAATATAAACACTATCTTGCACATACTACCTCAGCAAGATGCCTCATTTTAATTTATCTATTTGCCCTGTCCATCCTTTCAGAAGATATGTCTCTCCTCAGTTACTAGGCTGAGTCATCTGCTTCTTCAATTTTCTTTAAGAGTCTTAAAATATGCATATATACACTCTAGAAGATGTATGCGTAACACATATAAAGCCCATAAAGTTATCTGTAACTTGTGTTATTCTGTTGCATTTAGTTGCCTTGCTCACACTTTTCTCATTAAATGACTTTCTCAGTATATCTGCTAACACTGAAACCGCTCCAATTACTATATCACTGCCATCATCTTTATTATTTAAAATAAATTGCTTAAAATATTGTTTGCCCCCATATCTTTCACCAATTAAATGCTCTGCAAAAACAACAGTTTACCCCAGTAAACCTAAAGAAAAAGCTGTCCCAGTTGATTAGAAAGTGAGAGATTCTCAACAGGCCTCTGAGGCACACAGCAATATATTTTCATTCCTCAAGACTACACTGTGACACTTCTACATGTAGCAAAGAACTTTAGACCCACATGAGGAACATTTTAAGTATAATTGTATTTTTCTTTTTGACCAAGAAGACAGAATATTTATATTCACAGTAATGAAAAGAGCTTGATAGGTATGGAGGGTTATTAATTCAAAATGAGCTCACATGAATATGTAAAGTGACACACAAAATAAAAATACTTTAAATATAGTTTAATACAATAGTTTAAAAAAATAGTTTAATTGTATTAGTTTTTTTCAACTCAAATTTAGGCTAATAACTATGTACACATACATGTATACATGTGTACATAAAATAAAATCAGTGCCTTATTGCTCTAACTAATTCCTGAAACCACAAAAAAAGTCAAGTGGAAATCTGATGTGTGAGCACTTCATGGATATCATGCTTAATTATTTATAGTAGTGCCAAAGTTGGGTATCTTTCGATCACTGCTACAAAGAACTCATATAAAAGCACTTTTCAAGGCAAAATTAATTAAAATCTGAAGACAGGACTGAACCTTGTATGATATATGTGGTTTAGTAATCCCCCAAAATATGTGTAATATTTAACTCCCATCAATGTTAATGAGATGTATGCGACCATATATTCATACTGCCCTTTACAGAAAACTTTACATTCCTATTTCTCACAGCTGGATGATTACTCATATAGTTCTGCAGGAAACATGACTCAGGAGATTTCTAGTTCAAGTAAACCATTAATGTTTATGTTGTTAGTTAAACTGTAAAGTACTACAACCAGATAAATAAATAAATGGATTAATATTTGAAAGTAGAGGCCTACCAGAACCCGCCTTCATATTTGGAAACATTATTTAATACCTTATTCTAAAAAAAAAGAATAACAATCCAAAATAATTAGTTTCTGAATACAATTCAAATAAGAGAGTTGGAAATTTGATACAACTTTAGAAATCAAGGATTAAATTTCTTTGAGTTTAGTGTGGTTTTCGATAGGTCACAGGTCTGTCTGTCTATCTTTCCCTCCTTGACAGTGGCACAACAGAACCCAAGGCAGAAGCTGGCATCTTGCACTGAGGTATGGAGGGTAGGCATATGCAGAACTGAAAATTTTAATCAGCAAAGAAAGGGAAGAAATCTTGGCTTGTCCCTATGTTTGCTGGAATTGCTTTACTGTAGAAGATACAATGGGCAGAGTCCTTCCCTATATTCTGGACAAGCATCTTTACTAGAAATGCATAGCTGAAACTGAATGAAACTGAATCACTGTAATGAGAAAAAATTAAAAAAAAAAAAAAAAAAAAAGGTGATTGTAGCAGCTGGGAACCACTATTATTAAAAATAATATTAGTTCAGTAAAGACATATCTCATTGCTAATGCCAAAACGGTTCACCAGAAGCAAGGTAGGTTAACATTTCATAGGGATTAAAAATAAAGAAGAAAATGGAAATTAAAGTTTTAGATAATAGTTTAAGAATGGTTTTGAATAAGCTGAATCTGACAAAGTGGCAGAACACATTTGATAGTTACTTGAAAGTACTCAAAACCAAATAATAGTTTAAAATAATACATAATAGAAATAATTTTTAAGAATGATGGGGAAATTCTGGTGTAAATGGACATTTCCTATATTGTTATTTCTGCAAAATAAATTTTCATTGATATTAATTTATTTTGTATTTTTACTTGATTGTCAGTGTTATACTGATTTGCAAATTATTTCTAGTCTCTGAAAAAACAACTTCTTTTGCGTAAGGCTTAACATTTCATGCATTGCCTTTCACCAACAGTTATCATCACTAGAATAGTAAATTGAAATTTCTTCCTTATCATTACATATTTTTACTTAAGGGATAGGATCTCTCCATAAACATGACTCTACCTACATGTGAAAAACTGATTTTATTGATGTCTACCACATCCTACCAGGTGAAACACAAAGACAAGAAATACATCCATGAACTGACCCTTACAAAGAAGGCAAATAAGCAAAACCCAACCAAACAAAACCAACCAAACAAAAAAACCCAACAAAAAAAGTACTACAGGAATAATGCAGGTTTTGCCCACAAAATCAAACATCCCCCCCAAAGAAGTATGTATGATGATTATTGCCTACATCTAGAACAGCGTTACCTGGTGGCATCAGAGCTAACTAGCCTTGGAGAATGCTGTCCACTTTCTTTCAGCACTGGAAAATTCAGTGTTAAAGCACATTTGACCCATCTCAGTATCCATTTCCTTCCCTCTTTCTGCAGAGGGAACAATCCCCAAATCACTTTTGCTGTTCAACAGTTTACACCCAGAAAGCTTCCAACCTTTTTGTTTTAGGCCGTGACAACTATTCCATTTTTGGTCCCTTCTCACTATAGGCCTCCAAACTCATAGCAACCTTAGTGCACTGTGCTTTTGAGTTAATAACTTCACACAAACAGAATACGTGGGAGGAGTAAAGCAGCAAAACACACCTATCAGCACCACTGTACCACAACACTGCTCCTAGCAGCATCCTGATGAGAAGTTCAGGAAAAATAAACTTGTGCCTCCTCCTGAAGTGAACTAATGCTTGAGAAAGTATTCTTTACAAGCAGCTGTAAGATACATGAGAGTGTAAAGAGTCAGTCATCTCTGAGGAACAAACATAGGTGTGCTACACATGCAGAAAAAAGAATCAGATAGCAGACACCTGGACAAAGGCAGTCATGCCTCAGAGAGTCCAATAAATTTTGGAAGAGTTTATTGCTTTCTAGAGCAAGCTGTAAACTACATGATATTTGCTAGCCCATGGTTAGCATCAATATATCAAATCAAAAATTAACAATGGAAAAGTATGATTGAATGCTGTCAGAGATCAATAAAACAACTTTCAAGTACATATTTGTGCGTATAGAAGCTTCTATTCACCCCTTCCTATGCCAACTGTGACTGGTGATGTCGGCTAACATTCAGAAAAATAAATTCTGTGTCTTCAGTAACAGTAGCACACCTTACCTGTAAGTACGTATATGTGTAGAAAGTAGATCAAAATTATACCAATAGCATGGAATTTCCATTATGAGATTGGATGGCCTTAATGAATCACAAAAACGTTATCTATCCGTACAAAAAGAAGCATCTCTTTCAAGTATAGAGAGACCTAAATCCTCACTAGTGGATTAAAAATTTATAAAATGCTTACGTAATTCCATGAAGGCAAAGCCTTAAAAGGCACTTGGCAGCATAAAAATATATTCAAAA